CCCTGGATAGTCTGGAAAAACAAACAAACAAACAAACAAAACAACTGGAACAGAATTGAGCCATGGAGAGTAAGGCACAATGGAATCAAAGACTATCATAGGAGAGGGCAGTGTAGACAAAGGCTGGGTGTTGAGAGAGAACATTTCATGGTCTCAGAACTGCATACAGTGAGAGGGGGTAGGGACGTAAATAAAAAAGTGCCTCACAGGACATTGTAAGCTGTGTATATTAATCCATTCAGGCTACTCTAACAGAATATTTCACACTGGGTGGCTTATAAACAGGAATTTATTTCTTATAATTATGAAGGCTAAGTTCAAGATTAAGGTAGCAGCAGATTTGGGGCCTGGTGAAAGCCTGCTTCCTAGTTCATAGAAGACTCTTTTCACTATGTCCTCACATGGTAGAAGGAGACAGTGAACTCTCAGGGTCCTCCCATATGAGGGCATTTTGATATGGTGATTAATAAGAAGAAATACGTATTTGTCTTCATCCCAGGTCCTGGCACAGAGTTTGGAAAGCCCTTGGAATTTCCTAAGTGACAAAGTCACAGAGTGTCTTTCATTATGAGGTGACTTTTGGAAAACCCGTATGTAACCTAAAGGTGGGGGTTGGTCACCAAGGGAACCAACCATGTGGTTAGAGAGTTGGAACTTTTAGTCCCACCCCAACCTCGGGGAAGGGAGAGGGGCTGGAGGTTGAATTCAATCACCAATGGCCAATGACTTAATCAATTGTGCCTAGGTAATGAAGCTTCCATAACAACCCAAAAAGGACAGGGTTTGGAGAGCTTCTGTGTGGCCGAAGACCTGGAGTTTCAGAGAGTGATGAGCTCGGGCAAGAGGGGGGCTATGCGCCCTTTCCCACAAAGCTTACCCGACTCTTACATCTGTCTGTCCTGGTGTTAACATCCGTTCATACTAAACCAGTGATCTAATAAGGAAAATGTTTCTCTGAGCTCTGTGAGCTATTCTAGCAAATTAATCAGACCCAAGGAAGGAGGGGGGTGGGAACCTTGATTTACAACAAGCGGTCAGAAGTACAGTTAACAACCTGGGCTGACTACTGGTGTCTGGGGGGTGGGGTGGGGGGACGCGGGGAGAGGCAGTCCCTTAAGACTGAACCCTTAACCTGTGGGAACGGATGCTACCTCAGGGTCAGGGTCAGGGTGAGGTTTAGGCGTCAGAATTGAGCTGAATTGCAGGACACCCAGCTGGTGCCGCAGAATTGTTGGGTGTGGGGGAAACACACATCTGGTGTCAGGAGTTTTGAGTGTGGTGGCAGTGTGAGAGTAAAGGGGACACACACAGGAGGAAGAGGGAGATTTCTGACAGAGGCACTTAGCCCAGGCACGAGGGCTCCACCCTCGTGGTCTGATCACCTCCCAAAGGCCCACTTCTAACCACCACCACCCGGGGATAGGTTTCAACATTTGAATGGGTGGGGGGAGGCACAAACATTCCCTTCCGTCCGTGGCACCATGGTGGGGACTCTTAATGTTATCCTGAGAGCCAGGGGGAGTCACTGGAGGGCCGCAAGCGCGGGAGCGACTCAGTGATTTCTGCCTTCAGAAGCTATTCTTGTCACTTTCTGGAGAGCCATTAGGAGAGGAAAAGAAGCCTGCAAGCAGGGAGGCCCCTTGAAGAGGCTGTCACAGGAGCTCAAGTGTGGGGCGCTGGCTACTGTGCTGGTGATCCTTCATTCGAGCCTCCAGCTCCGCACTCTGCACCTGTCTCTGCCCTGCTTTGTGCTCGAGAAGCCTGGCCCCTGACGACTGCTTCTCTGGGGCTCCCTCACCACTGGGCTTCAGTTGGGTTTGGCCAAGAGGAGGTGTAACTGGACTGGAGGACGGGAGGAGAGGTTGAAGGTATTTACCTCCCCACCCCCCATCATGGCACTCCACAGCCCCAGCTCTCTGCCACATCCCCTCCCTGACACAGCAGCCTCCCCCCTCACTCTCTCTCGGGCTTTGGGAACACAGTGGCTTCCATGGTCCCCAGCCTAGGAGTGGTACATGCATACCGGTATCCCTGCTCTCTGGGAGCCTCATCGCCCTTGTGTGTTCCCCTAGCCTTGACCACACGCCCAGAACAGTGTTTATTCAAACCATCTGGGGTGAATTTAGTTTCCTCCCAGGATCAACGGATACAGTTGCTCTAACTTGGGCAATGATGGTAGGAATAGACAAAAGGAGACAGCTGGAGAGATACTTAGGAGGTGAGCTTGACCACAGAACTTGGACACAGCAGGGACCGGGAGGGAAGCCCAGGTAAGAAAAAGTTGTGGGAAACTGCTGGGTTTTAGCCTAGACCCCTGGTGGGATGGCGATGCCATTTACTACCATTACCTTGGTGTTGCTTCTTGGTGCTGGTGGATTTAGGACAAACCACATTTACAATGACCATAATTTGAATATTGGTAAAAATTGTTTTTTTTGTTTTTGTTTTGCTGGCATGGGACAGTCGCTTTTAAAACATACAGTTCAATGATTCACTTAAGAGTAACTCTCCAGGCCCAAAAACATCTGTCCTCGATTAAACAACAGATACCACTTACAGACCATGTCTGTTTTCAAGGGTTTTAGGGCAGTAATTAATCAGGCAAATGAGAAAGCCCAGACCTCATCGTTTTATCCAATTAGGAGAAACCTCTGTAAATGGAGGGCACCAAACTATTTGGTTTTGTTGAAAGGCATTGTGATGAGTGACTGGTTTTATATCTTAGAAAACATCAATATTTACTTTAAACTAACAGTTAAATTAAAGAAAAACAGAAGTGATTGGTTAACTGTCACAGAATATATGGAGGGTGCTATTGGGTGCCTACTGCAGGGCACCACGAATGAGAAGAGAGACACCCAAGACTTTGTGCTTTCCACAGCTGGGGACACGTCAAGCTTTCTTTTTGTGGTTTTGCCTTTTGGTCTCCCATTCATCATCCGCCCGTGATGGGCTTGCTTCCGCCTCTACGCCTTTGCCCATAAGTGCTAGACTGTCCTCCTTCCTCCATATCCCATCCGTGCCGTTCACTGCCTCAAATATATCATAGCTCCACTACCAATTCCAGGAAATCTTGTCAGATTGCCACTACTGGAACTTTCTGCCTTTACTCAGAAGTGGAAAGAGCCATTCTTATGCTTAGTTTGAACTACCAGGATCTTCAGGTAATTAAATTGTTAGAACCCAACAAAGTGAGCTGCAGGCTAATTGTCGCCCTGTTTCCCCAATGATTTCCAGAAGGCATCAAAGAGTCACTGAAGGTTACCCTGGAAGGGGCAGCAGACCACGCAAGGAGACTGAGGCACTCGATGTTTGGTGGCATTGGACCAGAACTCACCCTCCAGACTCCCGGTCCAAAGTTCCTTCCGTTCCCCTCTCCGATGAGACGTTGGCTGGGTCTGTGCTCTTGGTCATTAACTTATCTCCCTCTCAGCTGCACAGGTCTGTCGTGGAGGAATTTCAGGGAGTAAAATGAAGTAGAAACAAAAAACCTCATTACTACTCGAAATAAAAGTTGTCTGCACTAGATAGAATAAAACTGCACTGGAACAGACAGCTAATCTCAAAAAAACAACAAAAAAAAGCCACCCACACATATAAACAAAATCCACTTCCTCTCATATTATAAAAGCAGAACATGCTTACTGAGAAGGCTAGAGAAGAAAATTAAAATAACCCATAATCACATCACCCGCATTTTACAATATTCCCTTCAAGGGTTTTTTTTCCCCCTTTAAATCCATGCATGACAAAAAAATTTTTAACATCCTATATAAGAAAAAAAGTAACATTTTAATTTTGAAAATACTGAACATTAAAAATAACACTATGCTATACTCAAAAAGTTATAAAATAGAATAATGGAAAAGAAAGGTAACATCTCAATGCGAGGGACATGGGAAAATTGGTTTTTCGTGGAGGAAGAGAAAATAGGTGCTGGCTTCTTTGTGGTTATGCATATGGGATTCTGTAAAAGTGTCCTTGAAGCACTGGGGTGGTCCTTCCGGTGCCCTGTGCACCTGCACTGTGTCTGGTCATTGCTTTGCACGTTCCCAGGGCCTCTGGATCTTCTGGAAAGCAGCCAGTGACTTCATGCAATGGGCAGCCAACAGCCTTCTCCGATGCCCAATGCCAATCACCCACTCCGGGGTCTCTTTCCAGTGCCCTGTAGACCTCAGCCTGATCAGAGGAAAGGACAGGCTCAACATGAGGTGAAAGGGGGGCTGGTTTGCTTAAGGGGGTTTCCCTGTTTTCATCACTAAAAGTAGTAATGAAGAAAGGGGCTGCAAAGCCAATCATCCATAACACTAAAAACACACCCCTGGACTGAGTTCTAAGCGTGGGCCAGGTCCTGGGCAAGTGCAGAGTGTCCCTGGGCTGGGGGAAGAGATTAACAGGGATGGCCAGATCTCAGTGAGTTTGCGGTTCACAGGCTTATGCTGGAATTCAGCTTCTCCCCATTCCAGGGACCCCAAGTGTAGGGGGAGGAGGCTCACCTGTCCTCAGGAAACACGCCAGTGTCTCTGTTGAGAAGGTAACTGGGATGATGGCCAAGAGCATTGGCTCTGGCACCTAAAGGCCTGGATTCAAATCCTGGATCTGCCAGCCACTCTGTCACACTGGGGGAAGTTACTTAATCCTTCTTTGCTTCGGTTTCCCACTGGAAAATGAGGAACATGAAAGTACTAATGGTTGTTCATTCGCAAAGATACATGTACCCCATGTGTATTGCAGCATTATTTACAGTAGCCAAATTATGAAAGCAACCCAGGTGTCCATCAATAGATAAATGGATAAAGAAGGTGTGTGTGTGTGTGTGTGTGTGTGTGTGTGATGGAATATTACTCAGCCATAAAAAAGAATGAAATCTTGCCATTTGCAACACATGGATGGACCTAGAGAGTATAATGCTAATAAGTCAGTCAAAGAAAGACAAATAACCAGATGATTTCACTCACATGTGGACTTTAAGCAAAAAACAAATGAACAAAGAAAAAAAGAGACAAACAAAAAAACAGACTCTTAATTTTGGAGAACAAACTGATGGTTACCAGAGGGGAGGTAGGGGAATGGGGGAAATACGTAGATGATTAAGAATACACTTATCTTGATGAGCACTGAGATGTGTAGAATTGTTGAAATCACAATATTGTACACCTGAAACAAATATAACACTGTATGTTAATTATACTGGAATCTTTTTTTTTTTTTAAGATTTTATTTATTTAGGGCACTGGGTGGCTCAGTCGGTTGGGTGTCAACCTTCGGCTCGGGTTGTGATCTCAGGGTCCTGAGATCGAGTCCGGCGTTGGGCTCCCTGCTCATCGGGGAGCCTGCTTCTCCCTCTCCTCCCCGTTCGTGCTTTCTCTCTCTCAAATAAATAAATTTTAAAAAAGATTTTATTTATTTATTTGACAGAGAGAGAGAGAGAAAGAGAGCATGTGAGCGAACAAGCAAGGGGAGTGGCAGACAGAGGGAGAGAAAGAAGCAGGCTCCCCACTGAGCAAGGAGCCCGATGCGAGGCTTGATCCCAGGACCCTGGGATCATGACCTGAGCTGAAAGCAGACGCTTAACTGACTGAGCCACCCAGGAGCCCCTAATTATACTGGAATCTTAAAAAAAAGCACCACTGGTTATTGTCACATGGTTGTTGTGACCATTAAAAGTAATGACGTATGTAAAGTGTTGGCAGAGTCCCTGGAGCCTATGATTTCTAGCTATTACAGTAATTAAAGGGCACTCCGCCCTACACACACACACACACACATAGACACACACACACACACACATTCCACGTTCCCCTCCCCCCCAGTACACATACTCACCAATGACTCTGAGCTTGAAGAACACTGATCTGCCAGGCTCAGCCCTCTTCCAGCAGGAACCCTGGGATGCAGGGCAGAATGCTTCAGCATTGGGAGGTAGATTGAGAGATATTTTCCTGGACCCTAAAACAGCTCTTGTGCCAGGGTTACATAATGTCTTCCATGCACACAGGTCCTTCGCCTGTTTGCTCTCTTTCTTCTGAATCTCAAACCAGTGGGCAAAAGGCCCTGGCTCATATGGCTCCTCTGAGTAGCTCTTAGGACCCTTCTTGTGAATTAGACAAGACAGCCAGCCCTCCCTGGAACCAGTGCAGCCCCATGGCCAGGCATGGATCTCCACCCCACTCGCCCTTTTCCAGCCCTCTTTATGTGAACACCTGTGCCCTGTGGACTGAATAGGGGGATGGAGACCACGCCACACCATCCCCTTTATTCTTCTCTCTTCTCCCCTCACCAGCACCCTACCCCAAACTCCTCTTCCTCTCTCCCTGAACCCCCTCCTGAAACAACATCAACAACAGAAAGCCTTAATCCATATCAGCTCATTCAGATGCAGATAGATAGGTGGGTGGGAGTAGGGAATATCCCCTACACATTAGAATTATCTAGTCAGTTAGCACCCAGCCAGGATACCCTATTAATATATATTATCTACCTGGCACCCTTCTGAGTAACTTTTATTATTATTTCCATTTTACAGATGAAGAAACTAAAGGCCAGAGAGGTTAAGTGACCAACCAAATGTCACACAGTGGTAAGTAGCAGGGAATATCACACCCAGGCATGTTTTACTGCAACATTTGTTTATAACTACTGGTCAGGTACCTCTTAGCTAATATGATCCAACTTCCCAATGGTTAAAATAAGAGCTACTCAAAACAATCAAATATTAAGATGTAATCAGGTATTATCAAAGCATAGTTATACAAAGAATTCTGTGAAGTAAATAAGATGAATCAATATATTTATCAAAAACTATCAAAGTGTAATTAGGATGGGTAATCAAATCAATCAAGTATTAATATGCATTAGCATTTTCAACATCTAATTATAGAGCACATAGTCAAAATATAGTGGCAATGGGGGTAAAAACAGTCCCTCTTCAAAGTTCCATCTAAAATTCCAACATTATTAGGGCACCTGGGTGGCTCAGTCTGTTGAGTGGCCGGCTCTTGGTTTTGGCTCAGATCATGACCTCGGGGTCATGAGATCAAGTCCCGTGTCGGGCCAAGCCCTGTGTCGGGCTTGCGCTCAGTGCTTGAGATTCTCTCTCGCCCTCTCCCTCTCCCTCTGCCCCTCCCCCCCACGCTTTAAATAAATAAATAAATAATCTTTAAAAAATAAAAATAAAAACCCAACATTCTTATCCAACCAGAGCCAAATCCAAACTTTAATGAACCTTATGGATAATGGTCAGGAAACTTCCCTGGTCCCACATAGACCCCTCTAATTAGGATGTCCGTATAATTTATCCTTTAAATTTTAGAGTGAAAGAGGATTTTATCAATAATTAACATTAGGGCAAAAAAAATTAATTAACGTTAGGGCAATAGGTCCCAGGCAAACACAGTTGTATGGACACCTTACCTGCAATCAGCTTTGTTCCCTTCCATTTAACTCAATTCAACCCAAATTTTCAAAAATAATTTGCCCATATTTTTTTGCAGAACTTATACTAGATATTTGAAATATAATGGTCAGCAAAACCATTACCTACCCTGATATTTTCTACTGGGTCAGACAGGTAGATATTAGGAAATTAAACCTCAGTGCCATCAGCCTCTACAGAGGGGACAAAATAGAATGCTGTGGAAGCAGCGATAGAAAGCGTGGTTGCAGAGATCTATGGCCTGCATAACACAGTGGCTTGAAATGACAACCATTTATTATAGCTTATGGTTTTGTGGGCCACCCATGCAGACAGGGGTCTGTTGCACAACTGTTAATCACAGCATCAGTGGAGGACTCACAGGGACACATTCGGTGCGTGGGCTGGTCTGGAGGGTACACGACAGCCCAGTCACATGTCTGGCACTTTGGCAGAGCTGGCTAGAAGGCTGGGCCCAGCCGAGCCTGTCCACGGAAGCACCTACCCGTGGCTTCTCAACATGGAGGCCTTGGGTCCTTGGCTTCTCACACGGCAGCTCGGGGCTCCGAGAGCAAGTGTTCCAGCAAATAAGATGGGAGTCGCATGACCTTTTATGACCTAGTTTTAGAAGCCACACAATTTCACTTCTACCATATTCTAGCAGTTGAAGCAGTCAGAAGAGCACCCAAACTCCCCTGGGAGGTGACACGGTCCCCACCTCTCTGTGGGACGAGTGCCAAAAACTCTGCAGCCTTAGGTTTAAATTGCCTCAAGAGCCAAAGACAGTCTTTGAGGATCAGGGAAGGATTCTTTAGCTGAAGGGTGAGTAGGAATTCGCTCAGACAGAAGAGCGGGGGATGAGAGGAATTTTGTAAAGGCCCTGAGATGAAAGGCGGCATGGGTCAGTCAGGGAAGTGAAGGCAGCGGAGCGGGGAGTGTAAGGAGAATGAGGAAAGAGTCTGCACTAAAACAGATGCACGCCGGATGGTGACAGTGAATTCAGAATCTGGGACGTAAAAGGTGTTTCATAAACGGAAATGAATGGACAAGTGAATGGAAGAACAGATACGCTCATCACAGGGAAGAGCGGGGCGATGGATGGGTCACCACTACTGGGTGTGTTGCAGGGGACAAGGGAACAGTCCCCGCTGAGGACACAACACGCCATCAGAGCAGAGCTGGATGTGGGCAAAACCACCAGATGAACATACAACTCCACTTCCTTGCCCTGGGTGACCTTCTCATTGGTGAGGAAGGAAACACCACCTTTTCCTGGCCACCTGTTGATCCCCTTACAACACACGATCCTGAGCCCTTCTTGCTATCCCTCACCCCAGCAGAGGGGACCCCTGAAACGTCTTCAGGCTGTGAGGCCCACCACTGGCCTTGCTCTTCCCTACCCTTCTCCTCCTCCCTCCTTCCTTCCCTTTCTCGACCCTGCCTTCTTCCTTCCAAGTTCCTATCCTGACTGCTACCTATTAGGCAAACCATCCCGAATACGTAGTGCTCACCTAATTAACATAAGTCCATTTCCCAATAGCTATTTGTGAAGCCGTCACTGGCAGGTATAACCCCGAGCTAGGTCTCAAATACGTCATGTGCACACCACCTCGACGATGTTTCCCGTGTCCACGTGCCCCCAGAATGTTTCCTTTAAATTGACTCATTCCAGGGGTGCCTGGGTGGCTCAGTCGGTGAAGCATCTGCCTTCGGCTCAGGTCATGGTCTCTGGGTCCTGGGATTGAGCCCTGTGGCCCAGCAGAGAGTCTGCTTCTCCCTCTCCCCCTGCCCCTCCCCGCCTCGTGCTCCCTCTCTCAAATAAATAAACAAAATCTTTAAAATCAATCAATCGACTCATTCTTTAACTTAGACTTTGTTTTAGCCTCATCCTAAACAGACACATCAGTGAAACCATGAAGTTGATGTGCCTGTGGTAGTTTTTCCTTATTACACATGAAAATAAATGTATTTATAAAACTTAGAATACTATAAAATAAATATATCCGAAGACAAACATTTGTTAGCATGCTACTTAAAATCACCTCACTTACCACAGATGACACGGATAGCACACCTTGAGAAAGGCTGCTAACAGAGAGAGTTTCTTGAGGGGTAGAAGGAACAGGTTGCATTGTCACAGAGCATTCTGCGAGGTGAGAGATCAAGGGAGAAGATTTCACCACAAGTGGACAGGTGGAAACAAGGCAGACAATAATCAAATCCCCAAGTGTGTGGCCCCGGCAGGAAAAAAGAGGAGAGGTCGGGGACACAGGGAAGCTGGTGGGGCACAGAAGGGCCACCTGGTGAGGAAAGATGGATCCACGCTGAATCCCTGATCTGGAGGTGATACTTAAGATCCTTCAAAGGCTCCCAGAGCTGCAGGACACATGGTGAACTTCGCTGCACACCTGCCCCCACGATTGGCCTCCTTCCGTCCTTGTGTTCTAATAGCCCAGAAGTCTCCCGAACTGATTGTTGTTCTTCAAACACGCCATGGGCTCTCCCTCCCCAGTACGTCTGCCATGCTGCTCCCTCTGCCTAGAGACCTCACCTTTACGTCTGCCTTTGGGGCAATTTCTATCCAGTCTTTTAAACTCAGTTTAAATATCCCCCCTCCTCTTCTCTCATGACTGCTTAATCAATTTTACAGCACCCTCGTGCAAATTCGAAGGAGTTTTCCTTCCTCTGATAACCACAGTCCAGTGGATGGAGGGCCACAGTACTTGGCGAGCAAATGGCAGCTTGTATGGATAAAAATGCAACCCTTCTCCCGGTGTATGCAGCCCTGCACCAGAACCCATAGGCCGGATCTCTGTCTCCCTGACCTGGCACCCTTGTGCAGTGCTCACCCTGCACAACATACACAGCAGACCTGCCTTCTCCCCACCACACAACTCAGGCAGAGTTCGCTGCATTCCATGTCGGTGGCTACTGATTTATTCATATCCCCAAATAGACAGTCAACAACTGAAGGCAGAAAGAGCCTCATCTATCTTTGCATCTGGGGCAACTAAGAGAATGCCTATAATGTGGAACAGAATAAATATCTGCTGTGTATATAATTAATGACCAATCAACAAATACATGTAATACATGTTGGAATGATTCAGAAAGCAGTCAGTGTTGGGAAACTTTGAGAAAAGGGAATGAATTTGAAATCGGAGTTTTAACTCCGTGCCGGCCCACATTGCCCAATACATAAATTGTACTAACTTATGAGATAGTGTGGGCAGAAAAAAACCTGCAAGTGGCCACAGACCACAGTGAACAACAAGGACAAAACAGTCAGACAGAAAAATGGCCCGCCCCTCCTTCTACTCCAAAGATTATCCAGTTGTTTGAGTTAGGGATCACACCTGCCTCATTCCATGCTGCACCCCTATAACTCATAAATAATACTTGTTCAACAAATACTGATGGAACAAATAAGTTAAACACACACTCCTTGCCTATCGCATTATATAACTGAAATAATGATGGGTGGATGGATCTGGGTTTAGTACACCCAACACCGTGATTAGAGCTAAGTTTATATACAGTGATTCAGGTATTTTTTACAAAAGCTATTTTGTCGCTAGAACTGTTCACATCACAATCTTTAGCCCCATTCCTGTTAACTGTAAAGAGAAAGTTAAACTTGCAAATTAAAGATGACTCAATCTCTTCTAATTTAAAACAGACCTTCTGGTCTAAATCCGTCTTCTCCGAATAAATGTTCACTTGATTCAAAGATCGAATTTCCTCCAGGGCCATTTCCCTTCTCCAAAAGGTCCCTCGTGAGTGCCCGGGGAAGCTCATATAGATCCTGTCCCCATGGCCCCTGCTGGCCCCCGCTGTCATGTGGCCGGCCGGCTCTGCCTCTGTGGGTCCCACTCGGGTTTTCACGGAGGCAGAGCAAGTCCCAGCTGGCATCTTGAGCACCATGTGACCCCCCACAGCTGCGGGCGCATTCTGAATCCACTATTCTTGTTTGGTTTTTTTTAAGACTTTTTTTTTTTATTTGAGAGAGACAGACAGCACAAGCAGGGGGAGCGGCCGGCAGAGGGAGAAGCAGGCTTCCCGCTGAGCAGGGAGCCCGATGAGGGACTCCATCCGAGGACCCTGGGATCATGACCTGAGCCGAAGGCAGATGCTTAGGTGACCGAGCCACCCAGGCGTCCCTGACTCCTCTTTTCATTCTTCCCTCTGCCCCAGCTTCCAAGGCCTTACAGAGAGCCTGGACATTTCCCCTGGCTTCTCAGCCATTTTCAGATCCTTTGCTTTACCGAACTATTTCAAAGTGGTTCCATGAGGCTCCAGCTCCGTGCTAAACACAGCACTTCCCTAAGGATCTGGCAACTTCTGTGCTGTCCCTGAGATACAAGGGATAAGCCCTGCTAAGGTGGGATCCCATATTCCTCTCTGGACTTTACACCCCTTGCCTCTTCCTTGTCCCTCTCCTGGGGAGGGGAGCCAGGACCCTCCCTGTGATCTCAAACTTCTCCCTCACTTTTCTCAAGTCCCTCGTTTGCTCCCTGCCCCCAAATGCTGGTAAGGGTTTTCCTTACAGCATATCCTGAGTAGTTTCTGTCTATGGTTGAACATAAAACTCTGTTCAGGGCACCAATTCCAACGCATTCCCCTTTCTATTCTTGACATGTAAAAAGAGCTGTTGGAATTGACAAATCCTTTGTTTCTCTCACCGAAGGCTGCCTTTCAAGACTATTCTTTCATTTTGAAATTTAAGACCCTGTTTTAAAGTCAGAGCTGAACACTGATTCTTTCTTTATTTTTGGATTCCTGCTACAGTGCTTCTGGGGAAGGTCCCATGCAAGGGGTGAGGAGAACACAAGCACATTCATATATTTCGACAGGTAGAATCTCTGTTACACAAGCAAATTTGACTACCAAACCATAAAACTTTCATAATTCACTGCTTCCTGCAACCCTTGCCTTAAGGGTGAAAGGTGAGGTGACCCTAAACCCCTGTTCAGATATTTTTTTTTAAAGATTTTATTTATTTATTTGACAGAGAGAGGCACAG